CCTGAATACCTTTTTCAGTATCCGATAATTTTCGCCATCTGCTTACAAAGAAAACTAAAATATCTAACAAATCAGTCCTTTTGACTTCTTCTTCCAGCTATACCCTATTCCCGCAGCGTTAGCAAAACATGAAGCTAGTTTTGCCAAAATAAAATTTTCGTAAGGTCTTAGAGGGTGGTTGCTGAGTTCCGTTGGAGCAACTACGTATTCTAGCGCTAGCCCACATGCAGACTGGGTTTGCAAATAGGCAAACCGTCCGCGCATTTGCCCTAACCGGAGCACAGCAACCACCCTGTACAGGGCGCGTAATCCATCCGCGGCGTCTTTTCTTTCTGCTTAAAAATATACTGTACCGTATTCAGGCGTGCGGGCAGGCTTGCCTACCGTCGCTCGCCATGGCGCCTTACGGCTCCGTGCGAGTATTCAACCCGTCTGTCTGCACGAATCCAGTAAAGTATAGGCAGACAAAAAAGACGGCGTGGATCACCCATCCCGTTTGCAATCTTAACTATTATCCTCTTATACTACGCTGCTTTCCCCACAGCCGGCGCTGTCCAGGCTTCTCCCAAAGGCGCTGCACAGACTCTTCCTGAGGACATCGTCTTCCCCTCCGCACGAGAGGACGCTGCGAGAGGAGTCCAGGATGCCTCACTGGGAGCAGCGTCAGTGAGGTCAATATAATGATACTGGATGTATGAACCAGCTACGTTTTATTTATTTGTTCGAATATTATTATTGGTAACGCAATGGAATTGGAGTTTGAAATGATTTGTGATAAATACACACATGTTATCGTTGTTTACTCGTAAGTCACCCATTTCCTACCCCGACAAAAAGCCTGCGGCACCACGATTAAACCGTGACCGCCTTGTAGGTAGGCAACTACGGCTTGCTGTATACACGTACGTCTGATTCTTTCTCCTACTAACTTGTGTCAGAGGCTACCGCAAGTGCGGTATAAGGCCCGGCTCACAGAGAGGAGGGATGGGGGCGCACCGTGGGTTGCCTACTTACAGGTTTTTTGTGGCACAAATTGCCTACCATTTAGGGGGCTCACTAGAGACGATTTGGGGGGGGGGGATAACAAGTATTGTTACTTTACTTTATACGCCTCCTCCACCTGCCAGGATGATTGAGGATGAGCAGCATTAATGTAACTTTCAACCCCTTCCGTAAATTCATTTTTTCAACTTTCTGGGATCTTACAAAAGTGAGGACTGGATTGATTGCAACTGGAGCTCTGCAATTTGGAGGATGTACATCAAATCTATAGAAGAGCCAACGTAAAATAATGTAATGTGAAAGTCATGGTGGTTTAAATGGGCTTGGATCAGTGGAAAAAATAAACAAGATTCGTGTTGTTAATAAATAAAATATTATTGTATCACAGTTGAGGCGACCCACATAGTTATTAATATTTTTTGACGTGACAGACGTCCTAGACTTCCTATATCATTTTACACGCATTTGTTTGCTAGAGAAATCACTTTAAGGGGAGACTACTGAATTTGACAGCTCAATGATTAAATATTATCAGGCAGGTATGGGAGTATGATGTTTATGTTCACTTTGATGAAAAAACAAAGAAAATTATTGTATGGGGTCTGTAAGACCAACCGTTATTGTCCATTCATTCATTCATTCATTCATTCCTACTGAAACCGTTCCTTGCGCCTCAAAATTATAAGCAGAGAGCTGAGGTGATTATTTTTAAAATCAGAAAAGACAAAGGAACTACTTCTCTAAGCCAGAGTTGTAATGTTATGTCGATTTTACTATTTACAACATGTGAACATGTTAAGAATTTTAAAAGTTGAAATTTAACCAACACAAAAGCTTATATAAGAACATAAAAGAAATCAGCAATTCTGGCTGCGACACCTTCAGAAGCACTTTTCAAAACATAAATCCTGAGACGACCAACTCGGTAACTTTAAATTTGAACGCAATAAAATTTCGGAGCTTCGAAAAAAAATAAAACATACATTAGTATTCAAAGCTCATAAAAGTGTAGTTAAAAAGTTATGAGTTGGTCTTATTGAGGGCCTCAAATTGTTCACAGGGCCAAGCTAGAAGTAACAGGATAAAATTCCAAACAGCTTATATATTGTAGAACACATCCCACAAAAGGTTCCAGAAAAGGTACTTTCTGTACAAATACACCACATTTATAGTAGTCTTCCCTAAAGAGATCAACAGATTAACATACCGATATAACAGTTGCATTTTGTATTTTGACAGTAAGACCTTTATTTTTCCCTTTGATAATAAGATATTTCAATTGTAATAAACTTTGTAAGGCAAGATATGTAAAATTGATCTGTTAATCTATTAATGTTTAGGTGTGGTCTACAGTATTGCCTAGGATGAAGGCGAAGGTTTGAATGCCGACTTAATTGGTTTTCTGAGAAAGTCCAAAAACTGTCGTAAAGGACTAGTATGGCAACCATTAAGGACTGCTTCACAAACTTCTAGCAGGTCTACACAGCTTTACATTAATTTCTTAAACAAGACATGGACTTTGATGCAGATTCCCTTCGGAGCTGTGTCTGTGGCCCCTTATTTTCCATAGGAGCCACTTGAGCTTGAAGAACTAGATGACGACGAGGACGACGCCCCGCTACCGCCGGATGAGCTAGACTCGCTCTTAGAGGCGCTAGAAGCTTTCGAACCTCCGAGGCCAGAGCCAGAGCCAGAGCTGGAGCTGGACGAACTCGAGGAGGACGAGGCCGCACCCCCACCATGGCCGCCGCCACCGAGTTCGTTCCCGTAACCAGCTCCAAAACCACGGGACTGGGCAGCGGACGAAGCCTGGCTGTTGGAAGCGCTGTTAGCTAGGCTGCCACCCGTGTGGCCCGCCCCCGGTATCACCTCGTTAGCGGAGGGCGCGAAGCCTGCTCCGCCCGCCCCCGCCTCGGAGTGAGAGGAGCTCGAGGCGCCACTGTACGCTCCGCTACCCGCCCCTCCTACCGGCTGGGGAGGCCTGGGCGCCGGCCTCACCGGGGGGTCCATGTCGGGGAAGACGAAGTCCATCCCCCCGCTGTAGCTGGACGCGGAGCTGCTGCTACTCGCCTGGCTGGACGCCCCCGACCCACCGCCGCCGCCACCGGGGGCGTTGGCGTACGGCGCGGACATGCCCCCGGAACCGGCCCCGCTACCCGACGAGGCTTGACTGCCTGCCTGGCTACCCGAACCCGAACCGCCGTATGAGCCAGGGACTCTCGCGGGCGGTGCGTAGGGCGGTGTGGCAGGTCTCCCAGCACCTCCACCGGCGCTGTACGAGCCAGAAGAAGCTTGCGAGTTGGAGCTGGAGCCGGAGCCGGCGACGCCGTATCCTGCAGCTGGGTCCGCGGCAGGTGCTGCGGTGCCCTGGTAGGCGCCCGCTGCCTGGGAGGCTGCTTGGGAGGCTGCCTGGGAGGCGCTGGACGACTGCGCCGTGCTCGGGGTGCCATATGACGGCTGTACGGCGGGAACTGACGGTTGGGGTGGTATTGGCGCTGGCGGAGGAGCGTAGGCGGGGGTCCCGTCAGTGGGCGGGCGCGTGCCGCCCTGACAAACTGAGCAAGGAGCAGGTGCAGGGGCGGGGGCGTACGAACCCCCACTGGATCCACCGTACGAGCCGGATGAGCTGCCGCTCTGCGAGGAGGACCCCGAGTTCGACACGCCCGCACCGTACGCTCCCCCGGCAGGAGGGTGGCTGCTCGGGAGGGGAGCTGGGGGCGCATAGGTCGCACCACCTCCGTAGCCCCCGGCCGCGCTTCCCGCCTGAGACTGGCTTGACGACTGCGCTGAGCTGCCACTGCCGCCGTATGCCGATCCGGCGGGCTGAGGGGCAGGTTGCGACGCAGGATACGCGGCGTACGTACCGCCACCGCTCTGGGACGCGGAGGACGCCTGGCTCTGCGACGAGGAGGACGCGGACGGCGCCCCACTGCTGTAAGCGGGGGCGGGAGCGGGCTGCGCGCCAGCACTGGGGCGCCCGCACGCTGAACAGGTCGCTGGGTTGGTGGGGGAGTACAAGTCTCCGCCGTAGCTACCCCCCGAGGAGACGCTGCCGGCATTTGCGGCGCTGGACGACTGAGAGCCGCTGCTACTGCCCGTAGAGCCGTACGAGGGGGCGGGCGCAGGGGGCGGCGCTGGCGAGGGGGCGTAAGTGGGGGCTGGGGGTGGAGAAGGGGCGTACGTCGGCGCAGGGTAGGTGTGCGACGACCCTCCGTAGCCGCTTGACGAGCTCTGGGACTGTGACGAGGCTCCGGACGATGAACCACTGTACGACGGTGCGGGTTGTGCGGGCGGACCGTAAGACGGTGGAGGTGGCGGTGGATTGGGTGGACCGTACGACGGCGGCGGTGGACTAGGTGGACTATACGGCAGTGGGGGTGGCGGCGGATTTGGTCGTCCGTACGACGGCGGGGGACTTGGCGGTCCGTACGCTGGCGGGGGTGGTGGCGGGCCGCACACTGAGCACGAACCCGGTCGCGCCCCGGACCCGCCGTAACTTCCTGCAGTGCTCTGACTGTGGGAGCCTGCCGATGAGGAAGTTCCTTGCGGCCGAATCACGATCGTCTGGGCTGGCTGATGTTGGCCATACCCTCCTCCCGACTGACCTACCCCCTTGATAACGACTACGATCTTGTTAGGGTTGCCGGAGTCCTGAGCGTTGGCATGGCTCCCGGAGCCGCTAGTCGCGTACACGGGAGTGATGGTGAGCTGGCCGGACGCGGGCAGCACGGGTCTTGATGGCCGCGAGCTGAAAGTGAGCGGTATGGTGATGGTCTGCCGATGACCACCGGAGGACGGCACCATGATGACTTGGCCGTGTCCTGCTCCCCCGACTGAGTTGCTGCCGCCGTATGCTGGCCTCCTGACTGGCGCGTAGTTACCTGAGGTTGAGCTCCCAGATGATGAACCGCTACTAGAGCTCGCTCCGGATGCCTGGACAGGGTAGTTCCCACCTGAGCTAACAGGAGCGGATCCGTAAGCGGGACTTGGCGCTGGAGCAGGCGAGTAGCCAGTACCACCCCCGCCTCCAGTGTAGCTTCCTGAAGACGACATGGCGCTGCTACTGGCTCCAGATGACGATCCGCTCCCATAGCTAGGTGCTACAGGGGCTGGTGCGGGTGCCGGTGCAGGAGCCGGAGCGGGCGCGGAGCCGTACGCACCGCTGTTCCCACCGTAACCTCCCGACCCTCCGTATGCTGGTGGGGCGTAGCTTCCGCCGCTGCTACTTCCGTAGCTCCCTGAGGAAGCCATACTGCTGGAGCCGGAAGAGGCCCCAGAGCCGGCGTAAGCAGGCGACTGAGCGGGGATGGCGACGGGGGCGGGTGCCGCAGGGGCGGGTGCCGCAGGGGCGGGTGCCGCAGGGGCGTATCCACCGCCTCCCGCCCCGCCGCCGCCGTAGGCACCTGATGTAGACCCGGCGGAGCTGCTTGATCCGGAGGACGCGCCAGATCCGCCGTACGTGGGCGATGGAGCTGGGGCGGGGGCTGGGGCGGGTGCTGGAGCTGGGGCGGGCACCGCAGGCGCGTATCCACCGCCACCCGCACCGCCCCCGCCGTAGGCGCCCGACGAGGACATGGCGGAGCTGCTTGAACCGGAGGACGCCCCAGATCCGCCGTACGTTGGCGATGGAGCGGGAGGGGGAGCTGGGGCAGGCGCTGCAGGGGCATACCCACCACCTGCCCCTCCACCTCCGGCACCACCCCCGCCGTAGGCGCCCGACGAGGACGTGGCGGAGCTGCTAGATCCTGAGGACGCCCCAGATCCGCCGTACGTTGGCGATGGAGCGGGAGGGGGAGCTGGGGCGGGCGGCGCAGGCGCGTATCCGCCGCCTCCCGCACCCGCCGTAGGCGCCTGATGTAGACCCGGCGGAGCTGCTTGATCCGGCGGACGCGCCAGATCCGCCGTAAGTAGGTGGTGGAGCGGGGGCGGGAGCTGGGGCGGGTGCTGGAGCTGGGGCGGGCGCTGCGGGGGCATACCCACCGCCTCCGCCGTAGGCGCCAGACGAAGACGAGGCAGAGCTGCTTGATCCAGAGGAAGCCCCCGATCCGCCGTGTGGTGGCGAGAGTGAGTCGTAGCCCGGGCCCCCTCCGTGACCAGCGGCACCGCTCATGCTAGACGCCTCACTCGCAGCCTTGCTGGACGACCCGGACCCGCCATATCCTGATGACAAAATCCAACTTTTCATTGTGGACGTTTACTATTTAACTGGGAAAAATATCAACTTGTGTATGGTTTGTACCCGGAACATTTTGTAGTTGCACCGTACCGCATGCAGGCGTGAGGGCGGGCTTTCGGACTTGCCTAGTGCGCTCACTAAGACTCTAACTGTAGCACTTTATTGTACCGAGCAAGTAGCCAAACCACACCCCCACCTGCGTGCTGTCCAGTATATTTACAACATGGTCATGGATCTGTAGGCCACACTGTAACAAGTGGACGACTCACGCCCCGCACGTTCGTAGTTATACTGTACACCGCCTGCACAGGTGTGGGCGGGTTTGCCTATCATGTCTGGGGCTGGGCTCCGTGTGATCAGGCAACCCACCTGACCGCGTGCATGCGGTATACAGTATAATTAATTACGAAAGAGCGCGGCGTGAATAATCCAGCTCGCACAAGAAGAGGCAATAGATATGGGTCATATATTACTGTTTACACCCTAAATCCTTATGCACTTTGGTGTGCATGAGACTTGCAGGATTTCATGCACTCATAACATTATGCACAATTTTATGCAAAACTATGTACAGTGTGTGCATAATTATGCACATTTTGTACACAATTATGCACAAAAATTTGTGCATACTTATGGCTGCTTGAAATCCTGCAAGTTTATGCACAGCAAAATGCATAGGGGTTTAGTGCGTATTATTGTTAAGGAAGTTTTTAAGTTTATCTATAAGTGCTTACCGCCGCCACTTGCACTAGAAGACGAGGAACTTGAGGAAGACGAGCTGCTGCCACCGCCGCTGCTGCTAGAGCTGCTAGAGCTGCTGCTACTGCTGGAAGAGGCGGCGAAGGCCCTGAGCCCTCGAGTGAGGTACCCGAATGCATCATTTTGATTCAGATGGGTCTGCCATTCTTGTCCGACGACGACTTGCGAACCGTATTCTGAAGGATAGTAAAAAAAACGATAAAAAATGCACATTTGCTGCAGGCTTGAAAGTAAGTAACAATGGCATCCACAACTTGTAATTGTAAACACTCGATGAAGGGACCGATGTGTAATTTCGAGCAGGTGCCGCCACCGTCGGGGGATCCCAAAAAAACCTTACGCTCAGGTCGGTTCGCTGGTAATCGGTATGAGGGGGTATCACGCGGGCGCTCCATACACAAGACTATTAGGTGACGTCAGACCACACCGTTCCCGGAGAACAGCCCGGGATAAGCCGCATACTCTCCAGGCGAGGCATGCCGTGATTATCAGTTCGCGCGGCGCGCACACGCCACAAAAATAATTTTCGAGGAGCGTTCTCCATATTCACGGCCCGCGCGAGATAAAGCTTGCAGTTTGGTTCTATAGATTCCAGGTCCTTCCTTTACGTCTTGCAAAAGCCCTGGCTTTGCTCGCTCTAGCGATGTTATGAGAAGGAAATCCGCACCTATCTTGGCTGGGGGGAGCACCGCCGGAAATGACGATATCGTATCGATATCGCATATCGATTTAGTGGCATGAAAGTGGGCACAAAAACGACATGCGACATTAAAACGATATCGCTGCGATATCGCCCAAATTTCGGTGTCGCTCCATTCCTGGTGGTGGAAGGGGCTGAATAAATCAAATGTATATTTGGAAACATTATTTTAAAAACGTGTGCTTCAGAGTTTTTCCCCCTTGACTGGCACGGCAGCAAAACGACTGAATAAAAACGTTCATTTTTAGATAAATCCGTCTGTACATACTGTACAGGGTGTTTGTTTGCACGTGACATTGTGGCAGGCTTGCCTACTCCCTCATCGGCATGGCCCCTCTGACTAGGCAAGGCTGCCGCACCAGCGCGTGTTGCAAAGAAACGTCCAGCACATAGTTTACGTATCAACAAATTTTGCTTGTCAGCTGTTTAAGGTAGCCTCTGCACACAAACAGGCTATAGCCCGTGCACAGCACAGGCGTTACGCACTGTGCCTAGTGTCTTTGCGCACTCTGTTGAAGGATAGCATACTCAAACAAAATACACATCCACATCCAAAATGTTCATTTCTCCATAAGCAGCAAGATTGTGGTTCCTAGGTTATTGAATGCTACTTGTGAGATATGCAGCACCGCAAGTCAGTTCGCTCGTCCAGGGAGGGGGAGGAACGGCGGGAGAGGAGGCCCACCAAGACCAAGGTCTTCGGGTGCTATCAGAAAGTCCCTGAACTAGAGCGAGGCGCCCCGATGCACTTATCGACTTATGTGGAACAGTGCGCCACACTGTACGGTACGCAGCACTGCTACTGATAAAATTGCATAATTTTTAGGGTCATAAGTAAAGTTTCCGTCGAATAATATGGAGATGGTATGACGACGATTCGTGGCGTCATAAGCGGGTAGTAACTATGTACATCCCATGCAAAAATATTGTTTTGCGATAACAAGTATCAGAGGGGTGTCATGGCTATCCTCACCTGCGGGACCAAGCGACAGTCCGGTCAGCAGCACTGCAACCAAGATCTTCTTCATCTTAGTACTGTCACAGCCCTCTTCGCTCGGCCGAAAGATTTGAAAAAAAAAATAATTCCGGCTGCTGTAAGCGGATCACTGGCGTGGGCGTCCTGGAACGCGGCGGCACGAGACCGATGAGGACGACATGTCACTGTTCACGTCCCTCCCCAGAAGGGTTGCAGCTGACCATGGGAGATTCACTCGCGCCCGCGCCCCGACCACAAATGATCCTGCGTCCCGCCACGGACCCGTACTTATAGAATTTAGCCGGCCGACGCGCGGCGCCGCCAGGATCGAGATGATGAAGAGAAGAGAGGGGAAATCCGGTGGGGAGGGGGGGGGGGGGGGGGAGACATCTCCTAGAGATGTGTGGCACACACTCTCAGAACATAGGGAATCTGGAAGGAAACATATCAATGAAAATTTGTCCAATTCACAGGTAAGACGTAGATAATCTTCCCTCCAAGGGTGCTCGTTTGATTTTTCTAGCATAAAAAGAAAACATAAATCCAATCAAAATACAAACAATAAGGGGCAGAGTAAGAGTGATGATCATATTGGTCTTTGTTTAAGTATGCTTTCATAATGTTCGTACGTACTCCCACTTCTTACATATTTTCAACAAGCATTATTGTTATTTAAAATCACACTTACTTAAAACAAAAATGTGCTACTGATATGCACTTGGTAGTGTCCCATTCTATGGTGCACAGTAGTAGGTGTTGTACTGGAAAGTTTCATTGTGTTCAACGGTAAATTTGAACACTTTTAAGTGTCCAAAGATTCATTGCCAACCCTGAACACACTGTTAAGTGTTCAGCCTTACTGTTAACACTTTTAAGTGTTCAAATATCCAATCAAACACTTAAAAGTGTGCAACGTACTTTTGAGCACTACTTGCATATGTTTGCGCCAGTCGCACACTTCATTTATCAGTCGATGCATCCAAATAAAATACTCGATAAATACCGTAGCAACTAGGGGAGTCTCGCGATAGGAAAATGTTTAACGGTGTAGGAAAAGGAGTTTTCCTAGAAATTCGACTGAGTGTGCAGGGCTGCTGTACACGTACAGGTGTCGTTGGACCTAATAGTGCTGTGGTCTGAGAGATCTTCCGCTAGTTGAGTTTCGGCGTCTGGTTGAGTTCAAACATGGCACGGCGTGGCTGAGCGGCCGATACGATTGTGGTCGCGGCCGCCGGACTCTGGGCGGGGAGGGGAAGAGAGAAGGGGGCCGGGCCAGAAGCAAAGCCGGCACTGGCTCCGAGCAGCACTAATGATTGTAAGAGAAGCGCAGCCTCCTTTTACAGAGTAGGGGGACGGCGCCGGACGGCGCGTCTCCTGCGGTCGTACGCCTTGAAGCGCCAGACGAAACGCAAGGCTTACGGCGCACATTCGCTGTAAGGTATACAGCGAATTTGACTGTAAACTGGGTAGTTGATCTACGCCGCTTTTCTAAAGCAAAAGAATGATTATTTTTCTGGCTATACTGTACCAGGTGCAAACGTGCGTATGGACTGCATATTTGCGCGCAGCCTTAAGTCGCATTTGGCGAGCGACGGTAGGCAAGCCCGCCGGCATGCTTCAATCCAATCCGGGAGGTATTACTTGAAAAAAGACGCTGAAAATCACCCCCTAGGTTTCACCGTCACGTACACCCACGAAGC